GTCTACAGAATCTGCCCGGGGTGGCTGTTTCAGGTACAGGGGCAGTCAGCAGATCAAAGGGTTAGAGAAACATGACCTTCATTACTCCCTGCAAAACAGACAGACATGACCTCAGCTTCATCCATTTGGGGCTGTTATGCTGTCCCATTTGGTACATCAGCAGATCAAAGGGTTAGAGAAACATGACCTTCATTACTCCCTGCAAAGCAGACAGACATGACCTCAACTTCATCCATTTGGGGCTGTTATGCTGTCCCATTTGGTACGCCTTTCTATTTTTCTCTGGTGCGATGTGCTTTCAGGATTGGATTTTTGCTTTCCCAGAATATTCTGTATCAACATGGTGACAGATTATAACATGATGGATGGACTCAATTTCTTTGGAACTTTCTAGGGTCCCTGCATCTCCTGAAGTTCTCAGGCAATGCAGAGTCTACTTGCAATACAGGCTCTGTGAGGTTGCTCCTGGAGATGCTTGTGTGATTCCACACTGCCTACAGGGAAAAAGGATCTACTTGAACAGCCTACTTCCTGCACCTGCCCAGGCTATCTGGCTTTCTAGATCCCAACTCACACCAGAAAGCCCAACTTCTGTTCTGCTGGCAAAGATATGTAACCCGCAAAAGAGTACACTTCAAAGTAATTATTTAAAGAAACCAAATTTCAACAATAGCTACATGTATACTGTTTCCTCCCAGTTGGACATGATCTTTGCCATCCTGACACAGAGTAGCTGTGATGACCCACGGGAACCCTCAGGAGATCAGAACTATTGACATTTCTCAGAGGGAGAGGGGTGTCACAAAACCCATGACACAAGACCCTTGAGATATATTGGCACCTTCATGAGATCATTATCTGGTCCTCTTCCCTCTGGCATTCCAGTTGTTACTACAGAAGAGGAATCAAAGGACTGTGCTGGGGGATTTTCAGCGGTACAAATTACCTGCATTTCCAATAGGAACCCCACTACACCTACTTGTTTGCCAAGCTAGTCTTGACAAGCTCTCACTTTGGGCTGTTGGCTTTTTCCCTGTCTGGGACAAATAGATCTTGCTTGTCATCATAATTGTTATCAGTGTGTGTGTGTGTGTGTGTGTGTGTGTGTGTGTGTGTGGTCTCCAGGAAAGACACAGTTTGTCTGAGTCACTCATTGACACAGGCAGGTGGAGGTAAAACTACAATAACTATCACAGAACACACTCCACTTATATCTCTTCTGTTGCCTCCAGCTTGGATAGCTCCTCCCTTGAGTCTAATATATAGTATGCACACAGTAGGTTCTCAGTTCCATACCCATCGACTGAATAAGTCTCCCCAAGCTTTAGGTACTTACTGCTCCAATGAACTTACAGAGAGGTGTGGATGGCCATGAGTAACTGAAGGATAGCCAGCATGGCACAGGGTATAGCTAGAGGAGATCCTTTGGCCAAAGCCAATTCCTGAACTGCATCTCCTAGGAGTCAGGAGGGCACTTCTGTCTCTACTCAAAGTATGTCTGTCCTGGACACACACAAACACAGATACACACAGACACACACAGACACAGACACAGACACAGACACAGACACACACACACACACACACACACACACACACACACACACACACCAATAACAATGACAATGACAGAGAAGGAGTCAATGGCCCCAAGTGAGATGAATCACACCACTGCTGTCTCTTCTACCTCTCCCTTCACCATCACAATCACCCTGACATCCTTGTTGACCAGTCAGGCGGGGCCTGTGCACGGGGGTGGGGGGGCACTTAAGACTTCCTTGGGAATGAACATGAAGGGTGCCAAGACCCCATGTCCCCTTCCTTCTCCCCGACAGCCTGCTGCTTTGAGGAGTGTGGGTGGGTGCCACTCATTCTTCAGTCTTCTTTCTTTTTGAAAATCAATTCTTTGAGAATGTTATACAATGTATTTTGATAATATTCACCCTAACTCCTCCCTAATCTAACCTCACATCCTAATCCCCCAACTTAATGTCTTTATTTTAATAACAATCAACTCCATTTTTTTTTTTTTGTAACAATTGACTACCGATACACTCATGGGCGTGGAGTCATTCAGGAGCCATACCCTTGAAGGAAATTGAATACCTCTGGACAGGCCCCAGAAACCCAACTGTCCGTAGCTCTTAGTCAGGAGTTTGGGCTCTTCCCACCCAAAGCTAGAATGCTGAAAGACTTGATTTTGGGCAGGCAACCCCAGCTGCCTCGGGTTCTTGAATGTAGCCACCCTGTCATATCCAGAAGGCACTGTTTTGCTCTGTTCCTCTCTGACCTCTCACTGTTAGCTTCCTGCTCCCCTCCTCCATGATGGTCCCTGAGCCTCAGAGAGAGGCTGTGATGTGGATTTGTGGCTGAGCACTCCATTGACAAGTGCATCTCTTCTGCAGCATGTTCACCGACACCCTGTCTTCTCCAGCGTGTACTGCTTTTCTAGGGCTCTATTTTGAGGGCCCCAGTAAGAAGTCTAGCTTTCCTACGAGACTGGGGCTCACATTCTGCCAGGCAGTGAACTTGCAAAACCCACCCTATGAATTTCAGTTGGAACCAGGGTGACTACCCTTTGGAACTTGAGATGAGAGGCCACCACGGTGGGTTCTAAAATTGACAAACAACCTCTAATACGAAGGTGGATCTTTTCCTTCTATGTGCTCATCCCTAATTTGGCCGACATTCTCTCTGAACACTAGAATGATGTCTAATCTTGAATACCCAGAATCCATTGCAACTTCCCATTCCCTTCATACTGCACTTGTCTTATGGGGGTCTCTGTAGTGCCTGGCACATACACCAGGAAGCTGTGTCTTTGCCTCTGTCATTTCAGTCACACAATACAGCAGTTAGGTAAATGGGCTTTGAAATCAGATTCACTTTTACTTGAGTACCATCTCTGACTTACTAGCTGAATGATCTTGGCCAAGACTCATAATGCCTCTGAACTTCTGTTTCCCTAAATGTAAGCAGTAATGCACGGATTAATTAGATTTTCCTCATCAGGAAATAGCAGCACAGGCCTGTAATTCTAGCACTTGGGGAGCTGAAATAGAAAAATCTAGAGTTCTCAATCTATCTCAGCTACATAGAGAGACCATGTCTTTAAAACAATTAAAATAAGCATGCCATGTAGCACTTGGCATAATGCCTCACACACATATGAAGTGAGCCACACACATATGAAGTGAGCCACACACATTGACTCTTTCCGTTATACCGCCACCATGACAGCAATTGGCCTTAATGTTGCCACCATTGCTTCTGCTAGTATATGTAATCTTTCACACACACACACACACACACACACACACACACACACACACACACACCCGCTTGTCTAGTCCAGCTCATGGTAGGCACTGCTACACTTATGAGTCCAGCTTTCTGGATGTCTCTAAAATCCACTCAAAATCAGCCACTCCTCAGTGCATCTTGGTTTACTGCTTGCAAAGCTCTCCAGTTATTCCAGGACTTCAGCCTGGGCCTCTTGGTACAGATCCTGCTTTCTAGTCCTTGGACATATACTGGTCACTACAGGTCAAGGACCTTAGTTTATTGACATTTCCACATCAGAAAAGGAAGCAAAGTTTGACTCTGCTACCCTTGCAATCTGGCTTAGAAAACCTCAGGCAAAGTGATCCCTTCTGTTAGATTCTCTGAGCCTCTGGGCCAGGTTCTTCTAGGAACTCTGGGATGTAGGGCCTCTGAGAGGGTGTACTCGTCCCTGCTTTAGGGCTGATGTGAAAAACCATTCTTGGGTGTGTGCCTCTGAGGTGGCTTCTGCCTCTCTGCCTCTCTGCTTCTCTTTTCTCTTCCCCAGTTTGTCCCTGGGTCCTCCAAGGTCTCTGCCTCTCTGCCTCTCTGCTTCTCTTTTCTCTTCCCCAGTTTGTCCCTCCTCCCATCTCCAAGGTCCTCTCCTCTGGGGAAGCTATTCTACCACCCGCTGTCTGACCAGAGCCTTGTCAAACCTCCCCAGTGCACTCACTCACAGGTAGTGGACAGTGCCCTGAGCTGGAGTGGCTGCCAGATGTCCTGCTCTGAGATCGTTTAAAAATCCATCAGGCTTCCTGGGTTCTCAAGGGCTGATGTTCTCTGTCCTAAAATTAAGCAGCTCCTGAAAGTGATCAGAGAATTGGCAGAACAGTGCCCCGGGGGCCCAGGACTGAAACCTAGGAATTCATACCTCTGACTAAGAATATCCAGGATATGGTCTACACAGCTAGAGGCCAGCTACTGCCCAGCTCCTGCTTGAGCTCTCAGGATGGACAGATAATCTCAGTCCAGGAGAGAAAATTCCAGTGGAGGAAATGGTGGCTGCCTGAGAAGCTGCTCACTGTTGAAAGCACATCTTTTTACACTCCCTGCCCAACACAGACAGCACACATAGTGCTCGCACAGGAAGGGGTCAGATGCTGCCTCTCATTTCCACCCTGTCTTGGGGCCTGTCTACTGCTGGACAGCTGTGGTCCTTAGCACAAGTGAATGGTGACTCCATGGACCTTCTTCCTTGATCTAGCTAGATCTGTGAGGACAGTGCCCTCTCCTTTCTCAGTAACCCATCCCTCAAAAAGATCAGATGACAGGAGGCAGGAGAAGCCTGGAGTGCTCAGAGGACCCCTCCTTGGATGAAGGCAGGCATTTATCCTAAGCCTTGGTAGATAAGCAGGAAGGCGACATCACTGGAAAAGTAAAGCTAAGAGATCGCTGAGGGGGATAACTCTGCAAGTGCCTAATTAGGGAACAGATAAACTCCAAATTAGACCACTGCAGCATGCAAGGGCAGCATATTCCACTTTCTATCAAAGGGCTTTGTTACTCAAAGGCTTGGAGATCTGTGCTCTGCAAGTCGCCCCAGCCCTTCCTCAGGGGAAGGAGATAGTGGAGAGACGCCCCTTTCCGGTGTTCTGGGCTCAGTGGGGATAAAAGGAGGCAGCCTTCCTGTGCCTCAGTATCGTGAACTTCTCTAGACCCATCACACCATCTCCTCCATCATGAGTCGGCAACTGAACTTCAGGTCTGGTGGTGACAAGGGCAACTTCAGTGTGTTTTCTGCAGTGGTGCCAAGGAGACCCCTGGGTAGCATGGCTTCTTGCCAGGCAACTGGTTACAGGGTTGGGGCCGGCTTCAGTAGCAGGAGCCTTTACAGTCTTGGAGGGAATCGACATATTTCCTTTGATGTGGCAGGTGGCAGTGCTAGGGCCACAGAGCTCAGGTTTGGGCATGGCTCTGGATATGGAGGGACTCGAACCAGTGGCTTTGCCAGCAGCATGTTTGGCAGTGTGGACACAGGGCCCACTTGTCCATTTATGTGTCTACCTGGGGGCATCCACCATGTTATTGTCAACAAGAGCCTGCTGGCCCCACTTAATGTGGAGCTGGACCCTGAGATCCAGAAGGTGCGTGCACAGGAGCGGGAGCAGATCAAGGCTCTGAATGACAAATTCGCTTCCTTCATCGACAAGGTGGGTCTTATAGGAAGACATAATGATGCCATAGCAGTAGCAATTCTGTTTCCTGGGCAATGAATGGATGTGATGGGGCCTGGATGGGTGGTCCCTCATCTCAAGGGGAAGGGAATAGATTTACAAGGTGCCCAGAATGGGGAATAAATGAAGATTGCTTCATTTGGCAATCTCATAGAGAAGGTGGGAAACTGGATAGAAGTAGCCTTATTTTGAGAAAAGTGGTGATTTCCTGAAGGTCAAGTTGCGGAGGGTGTTCCCATTTTGTTTTTTAAGAATGTGAACAACTGAGAGAACTGAGAACAATCAGAAGGCAGGGTTCACAGTTCAGGGAGGCACATTTAGACCTAAGGGAATGCCTCCTAGACCCGGGGTCAGGCCACAGAAGTTAGAATGCTGTCTCTTGGTTCAAGTGCTCAGTGACTAGAGGTCCCAAAGGCTGGAAATGAACTTGTTCAAGGTGTCTTTCAGGAAGGATATCTGGTAGATAGTTAGGGCTCAACCCACAGGATTTTACAAAACTCCCCTTCTCTTGGGAAGTCAATGGCATATATCCACGGGCATGATAATATCTGTATGGTTCCAGGTGACTGTGGGTTTGGGTTCCAGGTACGCTTCTTAGAGCAGCAGAACCAGGTGCTGAACACCAAGTGGGAGCTGCTGCAGCAGCTGAACCTGAACAGCTGCAAAGGGAGCCTGGAGCCTGTATACGAGGCCCACATCAGCAGCCTTCGAAAGAAGCTAGAGATGTTGTCTGGGGACAGGGTGAGGCTGGACTCAGAGCTGAGGAACATGAGGGACATGGTGGAGGACTACAAGAAAAGGTGAGCAGGCCACCAAAGGTTCCTGGGTCATGTACCAAAGCTCCAGGGTCAGGAGCTCACGTGGTCTTCTCCAGTTATGGGGGAGGTATCCACCCTGTGATAACATCTTCTCAGGTTGATAGGTAGCAATTCCTGGGTTCACTGCCCTCTGGATGCTTCAGTTGCTGGTTAAGGATTCTGTGTAGGCATTTGGGTATTTTCCTGAGATGCAATCAGGAAATCCAAGGACTTCGTACACCATCGGCCTCTTGGCAGTCACTTCTGGCATATGTTACTTTTCCTGTCATTGTCACCAGTGCCTGATGGGGCAGCTTAAGGAAGGAGAGGTTTGTTTGGGATCATGGTTTGAGGGGATGCTGGCCTTCCTAGCCAGGAAAGCCCAGGAGCTGGTAGCTCTACAGTGATGGACAGTGGCTCATTCCATGCTACCAACCAAGAGCCAGAGAACTGAGGCCAGAAGTAGGGTCAAGCTCAAAATCCTCAGCCCTGCCCCTCCAGCTGTATGGCTGTCAGCTAGGTCCCATGACTAGAAGCTTCCACAACCTTTGAAACAGTACCACAGGCTGGGGACCAAGTGTTCAAATGTGTGAGTCTGTGGGGCACACGTGACACTAAAATTATAATGCCCAGAGATCCCAGGATCCATAGGGCTTGCATTGTAGAGGAAAGAGGTGACTTGACAGACAGGCAAACCTCTGCTATCTTCTCTCCTCTCTCACAGGTATGAGGTGGAGATCACCCAACGTACAGCAGCGGAAAACGAGTTTGTGTTGCTTAAGAAGGTGAGCCCAGGCTAGGTGGTGGTGGTGCATGCTTTTAATCCCAGAATTTGGGAGGCAGAGGTAGATGGATCTCTGTGAGTTTGAGGCCAGCTTGGTCTACAGAGTGAGTTTCAGGACAGCCAGGGCTACACAGAGAGACCCTGTCTCAAAAAACAAACAAACAAGAAACAAAAAACAAAGATAAGTAAGTTTTGTTTTGTTGATCTCAGAAGCCACAACAGGCTTCAGTGTCTCTCTCACCTGTATCCTAAGCAACTCTGCTCAGGACTTTATCCGGGACACCTAGAGAGGGTCTAGGGGCTGAATTTGAGTAGAACCAGAATTATGGCTTCCAGCAAGTTGGAGAGGAAAGACACACAGCCAGGAAAAGATAGGAGGGAGTCCTTGTGAAGACACTGGGAGAATATGACTCAGTGCCATGAACTGTGTGGCTTGAGGGAATGCAAGCGCCTCTCTGGGCTGCGTGTTCTCTAGGTGAAACAAAGGAAGACTGGTCCTGTTCTCTCCCTCTGTTCCCAAAGGTTCAGTCAGTCTGAGAAAATTAACGTTGAGTGATTGCATCAGCATGGTGAAAGTCAGACAGCTACAGGATCAGGCAGCAGGAGAGGCAGGGTGACTAGCGGGAAGAGAGATGTATTGATGACATTATGCGGCCCCTTGGCAGGATGCAGATGCAGCCTACATGGTCAAGGTGGAGCTTCAAGCCAAAGTGGACTCTTTGGAGAAAGACATCAAGTTTCTCAAGTGTCTGTATGATGCGGTGAGGACACTTTCATCCCCCACACTTCTGCCTCTCTTCAGCTGACAGACCCTGACCTTCCCAAAGGGACATCACTGGGAGGGACTCAGGACCACCTCAGATAAAGGTGTTTGTAGAGATTAGCTTGAACAACTATGTCAGAGGCCATGGACCCAGAAGGCTGATGGAGAAGAGGTGAGGATCTGGGGGCCCTGACTGTCTCTATCTCCAATTCAGGAGATTGACCAGCTCCAGACTCATGTCAGTGACACCTCTGTCATCCTCTCCATGGATAACAACCGGGACTTGGACCTTGACAGTATCATTGCTGAGGTCCGTGCCCACTATGAGGACATTGCCCTAAAGAGCAAGGCTGAAGCAGAGGCACTGTACCAGACTAAGGTGAGCACTGGTGGGGGAGGGGGGACTTTTTCCTTCCTGGAAAGGGTCCCTCCACCAACATCATAGAAATGTGAAAGTTGAGACCATTAGCATTCTGTCCAAAAGGAGTTTTCAGCAGTGCTATCAAACTAGTGTGGTTGAACAAATCCAATAGGGAGAGACATTTAGTCCTCGAGGAGGCATAGACTGAGGCTCTCCTATTGTAAAGTAGGTGAATTTATGGGAACTGGGGTACAGTGACACAGGGAAGGAGGACATGAGTATTAGAACAGAGTAGCCATGGGTGAGCTGGGGCCAGTTGGGGAGAGAAAAGGAAGCCCTGAGCTTCTTTCTGTTATGCAAGAGGGCATTAGAAGACCCTCAAGAGCCAGCTGGAATTCTAAGAGTGTCTGACCAAACAGATCAGGTGATGGAGTAAGACCCTCAGGGTGCGTCTACTCCATTTCATAGTCATTGATGTGTCAACTTTCCATTTCTGTAACAAAATGGCGAGAAAAATCAATTTATGACCAGCAGAGGTTTGTTTTGGTTCATGGGTGCAGAGGTTTCGGTCTGTGGATGCTTGGCCCTGGGGACACACAGTATATCATGGCAGAGCTCGTGGCAGAGGGCAGCTCACTTCACAGCATCCAGGAAGCAGAGAGAGTGGCTGGTGCTTCAGCTCCCAATATTCCCTTCAAGGGCATGTCCCCAGTGACCTGAACTTCTTACTAGGATTTATGTCTCAACAGTGCCAAGCTGAGGACCAAGACATTAACACATGGGCCTTTGGAGGACACTCCCAATTTCAGCAGTAGCACCACCAAGCAAGGATGGCAGGCGTAGCTCAGTCTTACTACCCGCTCCTGTCCCTTCCTTGTTCCTGTCCACAGGCATTCCACTTCCTCCTTCCTGAAGGGCTGGACAAGGGTGGAGGAAAGCCGCTAGTCCCCCACTCTACCCCAATCCCATCTGCAGCCCCATAAGCATGTGTGTCCTCAGTTTTCCTTCCCCTCTGACCTGTGCCTGGGAAAGTTCTGCAGAAGAGGGTGAGCTTAGAAAGAGCAGGGCAGGCTGCATCTTTGGTGCCGGAGCAGAGCCAGGCTGGGCCTTTAGGAGATGCCTCTATGAATACACGATGACAAAGAGGGGTCAGAACTCTCACATTGGAGAGGTCTTAATGAGTGGGAGCTACACCTTCCTTGTCTACTCTGGGAAAAGACTCAGGACAGGAGACAAGCCGGTTCACATGCAGGTTCTGCCTAAAGGACAGGGTGAGGGGGCACCCGGGCACTGGCTTCACCACATCGACTTCAGGGTCACCTCAAGCTCCCTGAGGTACATGTGCTCTCCCAGGACTGGTCATTTCCTCCATCTCATCCCCATCTTCCTCTCTCTGGCACATTAGATCCAGGAGCTGCAGCTTGCAGCTGGCTGCCAAGGGGACAACCTGAAACACACCAGGAATGAGATGTTGGAGCTGAACCGGCTTATCCAGAGGATCCGCCGTGATATCGCTAACGTGAAGAAGCAGGTGGGCAGTGACCAGGAGAAGAATGAGAGGCACAGTTGCACCCTTGTGATGGAGACACAGGGTTGCCCTTGAGGAAGAAGCAGGTCTTCCTCCCGGGCTTGAGAGTCCTAGGACCAATCATAGCCTTCTCTCTCACCCTGCATCGGAATGGGGAATACGCTATCTCTGGCTTACCCATTGTGCAGCTGAGTAGAAAAGGACTTGCCCTCTCCCAGATTTTTTACAGGACAGGGTTAGAGCTCAGGTGTTTTTTTTTTTTTTTTTTTTTTTTTTTTTTTTTTTTTTCTGTGTCCAATACACCTATCCCATGTCTTTTGTGTGTGGCACTCTGAGAGCAGGCCTTAGGCCTCCTCTTACATGGCTGGATGCATGGGATGAGACAGGACCCTCTGTGGCCACCCTGAATTCCTGTCCTTGTGGTGGAGCATGGCCCTGGTGGAGGGGTGCAGCAGCAAACGTAGGCCCTGGATTCTCCCACCTGGGCCACAGGTTGATTCCTTTTGCACTGGTCTCACCTGAAGACAGAAATTCCTAAATGCTGGGTAAGTGTGTGTGTGTGTGTGTGTGTGTGCGTGTG